AAAACTCGCGTTTGAATCGTCTGTGGCAAATTCTTTAAATATAAAAAACTTACTTACAGTCTGTGAGTCAGAACAGCCGGCATTGTAGTCTACTCTCCCAGGAAACAGTCCTCGTCCTCCGTAAAATGTGTTGCACACATCTGAATATTTGGTTTGAACTGTTCTGGAACAGTGTTGTAAATACAACTTAACCACTGATTTCTAGTTGTGTCCTCTTTTGGAAGGCCAAACAAAGTAGTTTTGCTTTCACAACGAAACGCACAGCGTCTCCATGACATGGCAACAGCGGCAGCAACAATACTACAGCGAGAATCAAAGTTACACCTTCTTTCTTTGCGTAAACATTTGAGCGGCATTATGCAAATCTTCCCACACAGTGAAGTAGACATGTGGGGGCGTGTTTAAACGAGGCGTTTTAGTAGGGCGTGGACGAGTCCCAACTTTTATAAAGAATATCTCTTTGGGTTTGAGACTTTAGTCTTTGCAACTTTAGGGATCTTATCTATTCACGAACAGCTTCAGAGAAAAGAAAACTTGAAATCGCATCATATGACCCCTTTAAGAGAACACAATACAATGTAATCAATGCTAAAGTTAAATCTATTCATTTTTCTGTTGCAGAGTCTTTGGAATCCGCAGGACATCACTCATTACCCCATGTCATTTTTAAAAGAAAAAAATAAAATAATTACAACAGTAATATTTAGCTCTTTTGAAAATTATGCAAAACAAAGCAGCTAAAATCATCTTGAATGGACCTTAAGCCTTACTAACCTGCAGGGGGCGCCAAGACACTACAAGACAAATTTTTTACAAGTAGTTTATACATGAGGTTGATTAGAGGGAACAATGTAACTAAGCAATGTATGCTGTTGTAGTCAAATCTGGTACAAATGAATCAACCTCATAAGAATTAGTATGGTGCTCTTTTTAAGTTCTTATAATGTTACATTCCAATGATATTTGCTCATCTTTTCTTTTGTTTATAATGTAGAGAAGGGAGTGGAGGTTTCTGTTCAATTTTATTACAGTAAGCAGCTGCCTTTTATCAGAGTAGAATCATAATATTGTACTGCAGAACGAAGTCATGCAAATCTGACACTTTAAAAAAAAAAACCTTTACAAACAAGAATCAATATGCAGTGAACGAATTACAGCTATCACAGGCTTTATTTGAAATGTTGGAACATTTAAATGTGAATTTTCATTAAAAGAATTTAAAGAGCAAGCATATCTTAATCTCTTATCTCCAGCTCAGAGGACTGTAATAACTGTAACATCAGTGAATAATGCCATTATTATAATCATGGGTCCAAGTCTAAACACATCTACTGTCATAACACTGTCATAATTGTCACTTGTGCACAGCTTTAACAATATGATGCACTAGATTGTCAGTGGAAAATCACCCTTGATGCTGTTATTTATTACATTCCCATTTTCTGGGTTTATGTGAAACAGTATCACATCTATTGGTTATTATATCATTTTATTTATTTATTAACAAATCTCAAGCACATCTGACCAGAATTTCCTAATCAATAAAAACACTGATAGTTTGTTAAAATTATTTATCTGACATCTACTTAATGCAAGAAGTGAAGAAGAGAAACATTTATTTTCAAACCACAAATGTGTAATAAAAAAAACAAAAAAAACAATTGCACTCATTTGCATTAAAAAAAGGAGTTTTACTCCTTAAAGTACATTCAGCATTTAATCGCAGCTTTTGGTCTAATCTGGCAGAATGAGTCATGACATCTCCACAGAAGTCACTGCGTTCAGATCTTGAGCTCCTCAAACAGCTGATTCTTCAGGTCAATCTTACTCTTCCCAAGAATCTCCATACTTGTTCTTGTTAACTGGAGGGGGAAGGAAGAAACTGGTTTACAGATTAAAACATAAAAGGACATTGAAATTATAGAATACTTATTAACTAGACCAATATTCATACAAATGCAAAATTAAGTCAAGCTTCAACACTCATGTCAGTTGAAGTGTCAACTATGTGTGTATTTGCCATCATCTACATCAGTGGTTCAAAACTGGACTTGCTTCAGGACCTTGATGTTACATTGGACATCAGTTGGCAACCCAACACAGTACTGTTTCTGAACTGATTCATGGATACTTTCTCATTTATATGTTAAATATTCAACAAGATAAACAACATCTAAATTTATTGGCTTTTATAATCATTATAAATCTCACAAATCATTACATGTATAGACCTATTAAAATTGGAGGGAAATCAATTAATAAAGCTCACCTTCCTTTTTAGCTACTGGCACCACTGTTTGTGGTTTCAGCACTGTTTCAGCTTTCTGTGTGAGAGTGACCTCATAGTTCTCTCTATTCTTGCTACGCAGTTCCTCATACAACACTGGCTTCTTTTTGGGCACGTCCTCATCTGGGTAGAGTGGAGCTTTGGGACAAACTACTGGTTAAACATCTACCAATCAGATGACAAATCCTTATTCAATGACAAATGTCCTTTCTCTTCACCAACTGTAATCAAATTTATATAGGTCTATACAATTATACATGTTGTTGTGTGCTAGGGTGGCAGTACCTTGAGAAGAAATATCATCCCTGATGTTAACGGGACCAGAATCACTGAATCCAGAACTAAAAGGAGTGGGGTCGTATGATTGGGAGGGTCTGCTGTAGGTATAGTCACTGGTGTAACTGCTGTAGCTCTCAGGCATAGAACTGCCTTCTGTCGAAGGTTGGGACGCAGACTCAGAACCAGACTGTTGAGATTCTGATGGGTTTGGATCCTCAAACTCTGACTGGTTTAGCCTTAAAAAAAAAAAAATGTAATCACTGTGTAAGATACTTGTCAAAGTGAATTACTTCAAATATATTAATGTATATTTATGTGAAAAGAAACAAATAAAAACATCAGCAAACCGCTCACCCACACGACGCCATACACGCTGTCTGCCATCTGCCCTGTACAGTGAAAACCGGGATTCATCCGTGATAAAACTGCTAATTTTAGAGTGGCCTTTTATTGTGGCCAGCCTAAGGCACACCTGTGCAATAATCATGCTGTCTAATCAGCATCTTGATATGCCACACCTGTGAGGTGGATGGATTATCTCGGCAAAGGAGAAGTGCTCACTAACACCGATTTTTTCTCTCGAACAATATTTGAGAGAAATAGGCTTTTTGTGTACATAGAAAAAGTCTTAGATCTTTGAGTTCAGCTCATGAAAAATGGGGGCAAAAACAAAAGTGTTGCGTTTATAATTTTGTTCAGTGTATAAAACAATATAGAAATTCAAATATATTAAAAAAAATTCTGTGTGCACTTGGTCTTACCCTGAAGGCATGTGATGCAGACGTCCCTGTCGTAGTGCCTCTCCTAGTGGGGAGTTCTCCAACTTCCTAAACTTTTCTTCACAGACCCTCATGTAAGACATTTTCCCACTAACGTATCCAAGCATGCCAGCAACTGCATAAAAATCACAAACATTCCAAGGTACTTTGAATAGCCCTCACCATATATCCTTGGTTTTAGTTGTCTTTTATAAAATTAGAGCTGTCTGTTGTTCTTGATACTTACACGCAACTTTGGGAAGAGAGCCAAATCGGGGCGATGGAGTAAGGATTCCTAGGGATAAACAATAACAACATAAGATTTAGCATTTTTGAAAAACCCTTTATGTTTAACCTCCAAAATCCAAACCCATAAAACTTGTTCATATTCAGAACTCAAATGAAGAGCATGTACAGTTGAGTTTTCGGTTTACCATATTTGATGTGCTCTATGTATGTGCACTGATAAATGTTTATATGTGAACAAAAGCCTAAATTATATCTGTTCATCATACAAAATGATTGCGTCTCCTTAGAATACTTAGATTAAACCACTCTATTCATATAGATTTCTTTTACAATCTCTTCATGAACATTCTGAAGCATTAAAATTTTGGTGGAATGGACTTTCAATGGAGGGACAGAAATCTCTCAGGTTTCATTAAAAATATATTTCAGAGATGAATTAAAGTCATATGGGTTTGGATCAACAAAAATGATTGAGAATTTTCGGTAACACTTTAGGATAGGGACCAATTCTCACTATTAACTACTTGCTTATTAGCATGCCTATTATTAACATATTGGCTGTTTATTAGTACTTATAAAGCACATATTCTGCATGACTATATTCTACATCCCTAATTACCTTACTAACTATTAAAAAGCAGCAAATTGGGAGTTTATTGATGCAAAAGTTGTAGTTAATGGTTTGTTAATAGTGAGATTTGGACCTTAAAGTAAAGTGTGACCGAATTTTCATTTTTGGTTGAACTACCCCTTCTCCATGACTTCTCTATAACTTTTATAGTCATTTGTAATTGCTGGGTATTGATTTCTAAAGTAATTTTCCTTTCCAGAGCTCTGCGTATATCTAGAAAAGATGTGTTCACTAAATACTTAAGATTTTATTCTTTTTAATGACTTTTCCAGTTCTTAAAATTCCCTGATAATTCTAGGTTTTCCCATGACAATGGGAAACATGAGTAAAAACTTAAAATACAGGAGTGAACGTACCTCTTGATACCATTACCTGAGTGGCTGCGATTGCAATGGCAGAAAAAGGCAAGGCTGCAAAAAAACAAAAGAGAGCAAACATGTTCAGAAGTCTCTTTCACAAGTACTTTCTCATCAGAATCAAGCAAAGACAAAGCATCTTGAGACTGTACCTTGCAAAGTAAATTTGGGGAGAAAATATGTAGGGCAGAATGACAGTCAAGTGCCAATAAATCATGACAGGTTTCATCATAAATGTAGAGCACTAACGTTACTCACATCTGTACCAGAAGCTTTCTGAATTGCACTCTCTGAAGACACGCCTCTCTTCTTCATTGGGAATATACGAGGCATTAAAAGGACCCTGAGAAGACAAAACTATACGTGAGGAAAGTTTCTGAAAGTTCCCTATCAGCGAACTATTTATCCTGCAAACAGAAAACCGCATACACACTTTGCTTTTGAAGCACTTCTGCATGAGACAGAGCAGTATGTGGTTTATAAACACTGTCAGGTGAATTTACTGCCTACCTTACTAGATCCATGTGGGACTTGAGCAGTCGGAGTGAATCCAGACGAAGCTTGCGACATGACTAATTCAAGAAGCACAGCGCGATTACACAAACAATAATGTTTTTGCAGTAGCCATGGGATTACGCGGATTACTGGTCAACAAGTCCAGGGACACACTTCATTACACGACCTCCAGTCGACTCTTATTAGCAAACAACACTAACCCGGAAGTGCAGGAGTTAAGTCGGAAGCACCGATGAAAAGTCTCAAAATATGTGGAAATTTGTCTTTTAAGCAGGGGTGCACAAAAGTTTTTCTGTCTGGTTCTCATGAGTGCACCTGGAGATTTGGTTTGGTACTCACACAGCACATAATGTGACTCATTAAATATAACTATAAAAATAAAATCATTATTAATAGTGATAATAGTAGTATTGCATTTATTTATTTTGTATTTTAATAAAATAATAAACAAAATAATCAGTGTGATAATACTATTATATTAAAAAAATAAATTGAGTATTAAATAAAAAATACGGTTATTTTATAGTACACTTAAAAATACAATGCTAATATTAACCTTTTTTTTAATGAATTTTCATCATTTTCAAACCTAAAATCAGCAAGCTTTTATTTTGGCGGGTTGCCGGCATATATACTGGGCATATGCGCTGCCGAGTGAAGCGCGTCAGATCTCTGAAATATCAGTTTTGCATTTTGCTCTGAAACCGGCAGCCTAGATTAATGTTTTCAGTTTGACAGTTAGTCGATCTAAAACAGTGATTGTACATTAACAGCTGTCAACAATGCACAATACGCAAATGAGCGGCCTTAACATATTTACATATCGCATTTTTATGCGCATCACTGCTTATAAGTATTTTTTTATTTTTTTGCTCAATGATCATTTGATGGAGTTTTTGTTTTTGTAAATTCAACACGGAAAATACAAAATATACCAATTGTAATTTCCGTACACATGAAATAAATTAAACATTTTATAACCACAAAAAAAGAAGAAAAAGTCATAAAATTTAAACGTACGATTTCATGACGTTTAATTTGTAACGCATACAAAGTAAATGATAACAAAATAAAACATCAGTTCATACATGCTAATTATTCTTATGAATAAAAGAGAGGAAAAAACAGAAGAAAGTCTCAATTTTAAAGCGTTCAGGCAAACATGAAAACATACATGTAAATCAATGTATATGATACTTTATGCATTAACCCATTACAGCACTTAATAACATTTCTAAGCTTGTCTTATACCTAGAATAAATGCTAATTGTGTAGTCTGAACTGAGAAAGCAACTAGACTAGATCAGAATTGAGCAGATGTTTGTGAAATGATTTGGAGAAGTTCAGAGAAATCAATATGAGTATTAATAACTTTTAGTGTTTTGTCAATAGCCATTTAATTGCCTCATCTATCGACCGACCTCACAACGAAAAACTAAACCTCATATACAACGAACAGTTAAAGGGGTCTGATATAAAAGTATTGATTTTTC